GACTGGAGCTTCCTGACGGCTTTGTGCTTACCCTCCTCAGAGGATACTCTCCCTGCAAGCCCAAATGCCATCCAGCTCTTACAGGACCACCGGCCCAGGCCTTGCTCTTTTTCCTGCATCCAGGAGTGTCTCCTGTCAGGCTGATTGCCTCCTAGCAGATGGCAAGCACTCCTTGCTGATGCATCCAACAGCAGCAGCACTCCTCAGCCTTCACAGCTCCTCTCTTAGGTCAGGCTCTCTTCATACTGGAGGAGATGGTGGCCTGTGGGCCATGCAAATGCCCTGCAGTGTTCTCATGGTTTCATCCAGAACCTGTAGCCAGGAGGTCATCCTTCATCTGACAAAAACAAACAATCAAAAAACCAAGCCAAAAAAACCAAAAAACTCCCCTAACCCAAACAAACAATCCAAAAAAACCCCAAACCAAGCAAGTTCAGCTGCTTCCTAGTGCCCTATATGCCCTATATGGGTGTTGGCATCAGCTTTGCTAAACCCTGTTGAGAAAGCTCAGACTAGAATTGCCTAGGGAGACAGCTGTGCCTGCCATGGGCTGCAAGAACACCTGGGAGCTGCAGCTGTCTTGGACACCACAAAAAATGACAGGTTTTCTTCCTGCTGGGGAAGAGAAACATAATTTCAGTTCTAGGGCAATCATTATTGCACCAAGCTCTTGGCTGGGGTTCCTGGCTGGTGAGACAAAAAAGCAGAGCAAGGTCTGTCTCCCTAGTTCACTTGCTTGTAGGAAGGTATCATACCTGCATCTCACTTTCTTCTTACCCTTTTCCTGGCTCTTGGGCAATACAAAGAGAAATCTGGAAATGGCTGCTGGGGTGGTTTTTTCCTGGGTGCCCCCCAGGCATGGCCACACACAGGCCAGTCAGCATTGCATGCCTGGAGGCTGGATGCAAGAGGCTTTCTCAGTTGACAGGGAGTGCAAAGCCAGGCTGCTCAGGCTGTCCCTGCACTCTGCAGGGAAGTGCCTGCCCTCCAGCAGCTCCCCTGGCTTTCACCCTGCCTCAGATGTGCACACTTGCAGCTGGACAGGAACTGTCTGGAGGCAGCCAGAGCTCAGCTGGCAGGAGTCAGGGGAACTGCTGCCCTCAAAGGCAAGGGCACCAGTGATGACATGCATTCCCAAGAGTCTTTATTAGAGCTGTCTGAGTCTTCCTCCTGTTCTGAAGTGGCTGCTGCAGGTTTCTTTGATCCCTCTCCCAGACCTATAAACTCCTGGCCTCCCCTTCTGGACTGATGCCCAGGACTTTCATGTATGTATTCAGAGTGTAAACTTTCCCCCCAGGATTTCTCTCCAGGTTTTTTATGCTAACCCAAGAGCTTGATCCTATCCCTTGTAGATCAGTGTCAGAGACAAGAAACAGGGAAATGCTCGTGCCTAGATCTCTTGGGATAGGAGGGAACTAGCTAGGGAAATTGTACCCAGAGGTGTCTGTCTGTCAGAAGGCAAACACTTTCAGTGTTGGCATGGGAAAGTGGGATGCTTTCTCACCCCAGTTAGTCTGGAGCACAGGAGACTCCCAAAATTTCATCTACACTTCATGTACAGACTCATCACGTTTTGAGAAAGGAGCCCAGCTAGCATTAGTGCCAGGACAATTTTTCATGAGAGGAATCTCATTCCAGCCCTTACAGGAAGCCAGAAAAAGCTAAGAAGCGTGAGATTCAATCACACTTATTGAAATTATAGCACAGTGTGATATTTTCTGAACAGTAGACAGCCTTCTGCTCCATCTATAGCCATAAAGGAATGAATGTAGATAAGAAAGTGCAATATACTTGTGGGCCTAGGGGAGCACACAGGTTTACTTGGAGGGGAGAGCTGCAACACGAGGCCTTCCCTGGATTTAAGCAGTCTCTGCTGCTGGGACCGTACAATGACAAAGCAGATATCTGTGGCATGTATCCATCTGCTCCACACAGAGCTCACATGCTATCAAAGGCAGTAAATTCAGGCAGAACCCTCCAAGGAACTAAAAGACACTCAAATGACCACATACTCCCCTGCTACATCCCTGCTGCAGCACTTTGCTGTGTTTCCCATTTCAGGTGTCAGCTCTGTCAAGCAAGGCCACCTCTCGTGCCATAGTCTGCAAAAAGCCTTGCACAGCAAAGCCATGGTCTTGGCAGGAATCCCTAAATGCTACTGTAGAGCAAGTAAATAATCATGTGTTGTTATTTTTTATGTATCTGTGAGTCTTCTCTAATAGGTTTTGTTGAGGACAGGCTGAAATTAGATAATAGTACACACAGCTGGCATCTATTCCCTTGGAAACACAGGTAAAAATGTATTTAATGCCTCCCCAGTGACAATGAATATTCATTACTATGACACAGATGTATACTTGATTTGAAAATAAGAACAGTAATTAAAGAGCTATTAAGGTTAAAAAGCAACAAAGGAAATTCAGCTACTGAAAGCTGTTCTGGGATCAGCTTCTGACCTGTCTGTGCATGGGTAAGCACAGGAGGCCTGGAATTTTCCACTTGATTATTTTACATGTAGGCAGACCGTTTGTTTTGCTGTCCCTCCTCAAACTCTGCCATCTGGAAATGACCTGAGTTCAGAGTTCATTTCTCCCTCTCTTACTGAACAGCTGTGCTCTGCTGAGGTACTTTGTCTCATTGGCTGCTCCAGTGGTATTGTACCCACAAGAAGTGAAAGGGCAACTTTCTGCAGGCTTTTGGGAAGGAAGCTATTTAAAAGTGATCATTTATACACATTATTTTTATTAAAATAGCGTTGAAAATCACCAGTTGTGATAGCTGACTTGCTGTAATCTCTGAAAATCTCCATCCCACTGGCTGTGACATTGAAGTTGAATTTCTTAGGGGTGTTTCACAAAGGTTCCTTTGCAGGGGTGACTTGTGGCCGTGACCCCAGCAGTGCACACAGAGAGTTATGAGTGAGGCAGAGAGAGGTACTGGCACTGCTGTGCATGGAGGGGGGAGATGGAGCAGATGTGCCCGAGGCCAGTGCAGCACTGCAGGACTGAGGTCCCACTGCGTGATCCCAGCCAGGGCACACCCTGTGCAATCTCACCTGCTGGGTGCCCGTGTGTGACCTGCCAGAAGCTGCAGGCTCTCAGCAGGGCTGTGCCACAGGAACAGGGCAGCAGCATCCTCCAAGCCCAGCTGTGCCATGCATCACCTGCTCCCTCTCTGGGGAGGGTCTAGTTATGCCACTGAAAACATTGGGGCAGAAAATGAAGCACACCAGGTGCAGAGGCAGACTATTATTTTAATTTCTAACTCGGTAGCATAAACATAAATAAAAAACTGAATCCACCCACTTGGCTGTTGTTTCAGGCTGCTCAGTGAGGAGAGTTAACTGCGTATTGCCTAAATTAGAAGCAGACAAACTGCATCTGCCTTTGCCCTAAGCTAACCTGACTGGCTTTCTGCACAGCAGAGCCCGGTGCAGACGCGTGTGTAAAACAGTGTCAGAGCCAGTGACAGGGACCTGTCACCTCTCACACCCGCGTCGGAAACTTTCCCGTCCCGCTCAGGTACACGTGTGTCACAAAGGCAACCCTGAGCTGTGTCACCGCGCCGCTCGATCTCATCGCCTCACAAACGACAGATGTGTGTTTTCTGCCTGCATTGGCTCGCTTTGCTGGAGGATGGGTTCGGTTTGGTTTTTGTTTTTTCACCCTGGAAAAAATTCCAGTTCCGTGCTTAGACAGTGTATTACTGATTCAACCTCATAGGGCTTATCCTTCTAATAAGAGAAACTGCCAGTGTTTGCTCTTCTTAGAAACCGAACCTAAGAGTTGTAAGCGGCAGGGAAACGCGTTATCCCAGTTCTCACTGCTTTTAACCCGTCGTACATCCCTCGGCTGCAATCTGCGGTTCCCTCTAGCAGTGCTGACGATATTCCCGCCCGTGAAACCCGCGTGTTCTGCTATGAACAGCCGTCGTGGAGCGTGGCCGGGTGTCTGCGGGGATGCGCCGCTCGCACCGGGCACCTCCGCTTCCCACCCCG